CACAAGTCACCGTACTTTCACCACGCTCTTGTGGACCAAGCGGTAGATCTCGTCTAACCCAATGGTCGAACGCTTAGTATAAGACACACTTCAGTGTGTATTACCTTATTTATATTGAGATGAGCTAGAATTTCGTATACCTCGCCAAAACCATCGTTAGCTGAACGGCACCGCCATGCAGAGTTCTGGTAGGTCAACGATAGAGTCAGGCCTGGTGAAAAAAGATCAGGCCAAACGAATGAGCACTAAGTAATCACTGAAGATCATTAGCATTTAGCAAAAGCAGTATTATATTGTGCTTGGACTGTACAAAAGCTACACGCTCACTTTGATCAATCGCTTCACTATATACCGCGTGCTCTCGCGGATGAAACTCTCAGTGTCCTGTTACATCAAACCGTGAAAGAAATTGCTGTTCCGCCAATAGCTTGGTAGCTCATACTTCACCATTTTTAAAGTACAGTACGGCCGGAAAGTAATGCAGAATTTCGAAGTTTAAAGAAGATTGATAATCATTCGAAAACCGGCATAAACCCATGTACGAAAACTGAGAGATGATAAAGAGCAGCCTTAGGCACATTTGTTAGTTAAAAGAAAGATAAAAACTACTAATTGTTCGTTAAGGCAAATATAATTTTCTTTATAATACCCTAGTTTCACAGACGTGCAAAATAGCCATAAATTTTACCAATAAATTTAAATCTTATCGTCAGTTGAGTGTATAAATATATCACTTGTATTTAGCAAGAACTTTTCTTTAGTCAACACTTTTATGTGTACTAACGTTATTGGATTACAGTAAGTTTAAGACTGTCCTTTAAATTCTGGCATATTTTCAAGCTTTCATTCATAAAGGCAGCTCGACCTTTCTATTAAAACCTTTAAAATAAGAAACTATTGAAAGCAGTCACCGAGAAAAGACATTTTAGATATTACTTCTCATGAAGAAGGTAAAGTGGGCCATCTTGATTAATTCCTCGAAACACCAAAATGCATTGGCGAGAAAAAGAACGTCCGCAACAGACTTTTGATATTGTTAGATCTAGGCTAAATAAAAAAAACTTTCTACTATATGTTAGCTCTTTAAAAGGAACTTTACTTATATGTTCAAGTGAAAAATATCTGTCAAAGCGAAGAAGGGAAAATATGACACGTTTTTACATTTACCTGAAAATAAATGATACAGCTTAGGCAAACAGTGAAAGAACTTACTTTCCACATTGTACCGGATTATTTTTCCCCACAGTTGATTACTTTCAAGCTCCGTTTTTTTTTTGCGAATGAGAAACTTTGTGGCCGAATATATACTAAGGTACTGCGAAATTTGTTAATTTTTTGCTCTATTTTTAAATAACGCGTTAGCGGAAATTGTATTGTACAAAAAGTATATTCGCACTTGTTTTATATTTAATAAGATTTGGTTTTACCTTCATCTTCCCGATAATAGATATGCAGTTTTGTTTACCGTCAAAAGTCGTTGATGCGGTAAAACAAAAAGGAGTTAAAACTTATTTTACCGCGTTTTGTGACAAAAAACTACAGACATTGGGCAAAATAATTTTTGGAACTGGAATTGTTCCTAGTTTCTGAAAACTGCCGCGATTCCTTAAACTTGTCTCATCTGATTTTGTAAACTTAAGACTGGATTTTCCGGTTCTGAAAAGGATATTTTTTAAACTTAACTTCCCTATGCTGGGAGCCTCCCAGAACCTAAAGAATATAAATAAACGGTTTGATTCTGTGGTACTTAGTAAGATAGAAAATGTCTTCGATAGGAAGCTACGTCGGAATCCGCTAAAATTCCCTCAATGTAGTGAACTAAAATGGTAGTTTTCCTTACTAAAACGCTTTCTTAGTATTAAATCGATCCATTAGATCAAACAAATCCAATTTCGTAATGACTTTTCTCAACCACAATGTACTTTACTCTCAGGGGTGCGCACATGAGAAAATGCAATGCACCCCCAATTAGCAACGCGAAACGGGAAAACATTCCGAAGGTTGCTGTTGAATTTGCACAAATCCAATTGGTGAGCATTCTACTTTAAGTACATTTCCGTCATCATAATGGAAAACTAACCTTGCTCGTTGCAATCTAAATTTCCTGTCTGCCGAAAACCGGACGGTACGATAACGGAAAATGTCAAAAGAAAACCCAGGAACACGCTGCATAGGCCCTTTGAAACACAAGGCATGAGTAGGAAAGTATTGCAGCAAGCTCTCCAGTAAATTAGGGCGAGAAGAACTTTCTTCAGTAACGCCTCAGATAGTACGACATTGGAGAGAAGAGAGAACTTAGTTAACTGCAATACTAATGCAATACGTCGGCAAACGATGCAACCAGACAAAAGGAGCTGTTGGCCGTTATTAACCTACTACAGTTCGCCTGTGGGTTGTATAAATTGACGTTGTACCTTACCATACTGACAGCCTAGGTACAGTAGGTCACCTATCTGATGAAAGATTGGAGATTGGGGAACGTGACACATATTTGAGGTTGGCTTGAGGCACTAAATGATGTTTATTAGATTTCCATTCTGTTCAGATCAGTATACTGGGAGAAAATATT